GCCGCAGTGGAACGCCCACACTTAACCGCTTGCGCCACCGGGCCGGCCCCAGGAGAGGAGAAGATTTTATACCTGGCCCCTTGCATCTTACCTGTGCTGGCTTCAGCACTAAGGTATTGCCTGCTGCCAAACACGCGGCACTCTTCCATGCCAGCATCATCAGTGGGTAATTCCAGGGGATGATAATGGCACAGACACTGAAGGGGAAGAAAGACGACATCCTTAGTTGTCTCAAACTAACACAACTCACACGAATCACTCAGAGTCACTCTCCTTGTCTTACCCAAGGGGCTCCTTCTTGGTGAAGGTCAGATTGCGATTTGGCCGGGCCTGGTTGATTGGAATTGTAGAACCCTAAAGAAGAAAAAAAGGTGCTACTGATTTTACTAATTTAAATTAGTAAATTCAATCTCAAAGAATCCATTTTCTGTCTACTTTTCTTATTTTTTCTTAGCTGATGTGAAAACGCACTGTTCGATTTAAAGAAATATATCTGCACCAAAAAAGAAACGGCTGCTTCTTTCTCGAAAGAACTGAGACACAGGAGAATAAACATAATTCTAACTTAGCCACCTTCATTCTCAATTTCTTGGCATGGCAGAGAATGTTAATTGCCTGCCCAATATCCATTCTCCTCTCTATCCTTAGTAACAGAAATCCTACATTGATAATGAGGATGGCAATGTGCCCAGATAAAATACTGTTTCCCAGTTTCCATAGCAGATAGGGACGGTCAGTGCAAGGTGTAAACACAAGACATTGGAAGGGGAATGCTCTTTCAAGTAGGCTGACTCAGCTCAGACAAGTGCACTTTACTCTGCCCTCTACTCTCTCTTCTTCCTTCTTCCTGCTCAGAATGTTGCTGAAATGGCTGGCACTGCAGTGGTTATCATGAGACCACAAGACAGCCTTGAAAGTGGAGGTCACATGGTACTAAGGAGGTCACAAGGTACTAAGGCCTGGCAGACAGGGAGGAGCCTGTGTCTCAGATACTAGCCCTGACTGCCTGTCTTTGGACTCCTTGAAAGTGAGAGAAAAACAAACTTCTTATTTGAGTTTTCTGTTATACACAGCCAAACTTAATCTCAACTGATTCACAATAATAGTTTTTAACTGAAGCTATTTGATTGTTTTGCCACATAAAATATTATTGCTGTGGCTAATACAAGTGTACAATCTCTTATCTGAAATCCTTGGGGCCAGGGATGTTTTGGGATTCAGAAGTTTTTGGACTTTAGAAACATAACATAATGCATATACCTTATGTTGTATCATCTATAACCCCCAGTAGGGTCTGGGGCAGCCCCTCATAATCAAACACATTTTTATTCAGTGAAACATATGAATATTCACTCTAAATGATATAAATAAAGATTATAAATAGACTCATGCAGGTTCAGGTCAGATTTTGGCACCAAATGATTTTGAACCAACCACAGAAAATAATTTTCAGGTTTCAGAGCTATTTGGGTTTCATAATTGAGGATAAAGGATGAACCTGAACCACCAGTACTAAATACTAACATATGTCTGACTCGGTGGCTGAACAATAATAAAAACTACATTTATGTACAAGACCTACTATGCTGCAGACTTGTCTAATTCTGTAGTATATAAATATTCATTTCTAATCCTCATTACATAACTTGCAAGGTATGTATTATTGTGATCATTTTACAGATGAGGAAAGTAAGGCTCAAAGAGGTAAAATAACTCGAACAACATCAGCTGGAAAGTGGCAAAGCTGAGATGGACCCAGGTCTCTATGACTCTATGTTAGTATTGGTGGCAGCAATGTGCCCAGAAAAAATATTATGTTCCTCAATCTCCTTAGCTGATAGAGAGGGCCAATGGGAGATATAAGCACAAGGCACTGAGAGGGTGGGAATGCTTTTTAAAGTCCTTTTACCTTTCTCTCCCTTCCCCACTTCCTCCTTCTTGCTGCTGGGAATGTGGCTGTGATGGCTGGTACTGCAGTGGTTATCATGAGTCTATGAGTGGCATGCATTCTGCTGTTTGCTGTGAGCCCTATCTTTCCCTTTTGTATCCCCAATGCTAAGGCCAAATGTAGTGGCCATTTATAATCACACATGTGCTATTTATTTTCTCACAGTATAAAGGAAAATGAAATATTTATTGTACCCATGTCTTTAAAATTTTTTTTCTTATACCCAGCCTGCTTAGTTCATCTATGTCAGCTCTCTGGCCTCTGGAGGCATATGAGTTTGTAATCCCTCCATGATACCAGGCTTCTCCCTATGCATCCAGAAGGCTATTAGATGCCCTCAGGAGACATTATAGTAAAGTACAAAGAACATCATTAGACTTTAGGTTCAGAAAATCTTGAGTTCAAATCCTAGCTCTAAGGTTTACTTACAACTATGTGACCATGGCAAGTCATTCATTGTCCTCAAGCCTCCATTTCCTTACCAGTAATAAAGGACAATAGCTATCCACCCACCTCAGATGATTGATTTAAGGATTAGACGAGAAAACCTAACCACATAAGAGGTGGCTCTGACACAGTGTCTTTACAAACTAATAAAGGATCATCTCTTTTCCTTTTGGAACGATCTGTATGAAGACAAATAACACTTGTGTACCTGAATTTTGTCACACCAGCCAGCAAAATATCTGAATGTTTGCACTGACATTCCAATGTGAGTCTTCAGAGCCAAGGTGTAGACAGCCCCTGAATCGAGGGCTTCAATGGTTGCCAGCTCTTCTTGGTTCTCTTCCAGTAGGTCTGCAAGTCTGTATGGTCAGTGAAAGAAATTCACTCAGCAAATATTGATTGAGCCCCTCTTATGTATAAGGCACCATCCTAAGGGCTGAGAATTCAGAGGTGAACACAAATGGACCCGGTCTCTGTCCTCATGGAGAATATGGTCCAGCAGGGAAGACAGACATGAAACAAATAATATCATAAATAATCTGTTTTGAGAGTTACAAAGGAGAAGCAGAGGGTGTTGGAAGTCTGTATAACTTGTCTCATAAATACATAAGAAGTAGAAAGTGATTGAGCCATGGTAATCCAAGGAGATCCACGGAGATCAGTGATATCCAAGGAGATCCATAATAGAAAACAGTGGGACTGTGGCTAGTTCAAGAATATACAGGGAGATGTTAGAGTGCAACCCATACCCCTTGAGAACCCATGAACACTTGATTTCTGGTCGGTTCAGAAATATTTCCAACACTAACTGAAGAGGACAAGATAGAAATACACGGAATGAGTTACAGACACCACAGCAGATTTTTGTCTGGACAGTCCTAGGTCTGTCCAATGACTATAAAATAGGACTGTCCAATGACTATAAAATAGTCAAAATTCATCTTTTGTGTTCACCTCCACCATTTGCTTTCCTTCCTTTAGTGGTTCTCTGAGCTGTTCCTTTTGGATCATTCCAAAGTCAGGCTTGAAATCCTCCTCCCCTAAAGTTTCTTCCAGACCCTGCTTTAAGAGATCTTTTAACCAAGGCCCGCTATTTGGCTTTAGGTAAGTAGAAAATTGAATTTATGATTGAACCCAATGACTCTTGGCATACTCAGGCCTTAGTATTTTTCCTCCTTGCTCCTATTCCCTTGCACATCAAGTAGATTAAAAATTTGTCTTTGAAAACAACAGGATGCTGGATATTCTCCATTTGCTGCTGTTATCCATTCTCCTCCCTGCTCTGTGACCCGGGAGGATAATCTTTATAAGCTACGTCACCTGCTCTGCTGCTTTCTCACCGGGCTTGGCCAATGAGAGGCCAATGGGCAGCACCCCCAGGAGACTGGTGAACAGAAGGCAGAAGTGGTAGGGGATGTGAATCCCCTGGCTGCCTCACTGATGGCTGTGTGTCAGCAGCTGCTGTGTCCCTCCACCAAAACCACTGTAGTGTGGTCTTCTCCAGCTACAGATCTTGCCAGATTCTAATAACAGCTCCTTCCTCTGTTTCTTTAGACCTTGGAGTCATGGTAGCTTCCCATGTTGCTGCCCTCGCTTGGGTGTGTCATTATCCTTTGCTGGATTCCCTTGATCTTGCCTGCATCTTTGTAAACAGTCCTTTATTAAACTTCATTTCCTGCTGGGACACTGACTGATACAAGCAATAATACAAAAATCAGACACTCACATATATGGAATTTTGTATGATCAACTACAGAAGACATATTATTATTATTACACCTATTATTAGGTAAAATAAGTTTATACTAGAATGCT